TCTCTCTCTCTCTCTCTCTCTCTCTCTCTCTCTCTCTCTCTCTGTCTGTCTGTCAGTCTCTGTCTCTGTCTCTGTTGTCTCTCTGTCTCTCTCTCTCATCGCCCACAGGCATGTTTGGCTTGGCTTTTCTCGTGCGATGTTTCGGGTCGCGGACAACCAGGACGCCAACGACTCCCCAAAGGCTCAACGCAACCAACCGATCAAATTCCACGCGAAAGAGGGGCCCGGGAAGGGAAAGAACAAGATCACACCACACCAGGCAAACACCGGACCCCCCAAACAAGTACTACACCCACCTGCTGCGCAGTGATCCCAACAAACACCGTGTCATTCTCCTCCTCCTCCTCCTCCTCCACGTCCTCTGCCGGTTCCTCTCCGCCGTCCCCCTCGTCATCACCCGCCGCATCGGACCCTCCGTCGCCGCTGTCCGCACCTGCTCCTCCTCCCTCGTCGTCCGACCCCGACCCCAACATGTGGGCAACCGCGGGGGCGGGGGTGGGGGCCCTGGAGCTGTGGGTGTGCTCCACGTCCGCCGCGGCGGCGACCCACAGGCGCCACACGCCGTCGTCGTTGAGCTGGTACTCCAGGCCGCACGACAGCTTCGAGCATCGCAGCACGAAGATTGCCTCCGCGCTGTGTGATGGGTTCTGGGGGCGGGTGGGGGGGTGGGGGGGGATAGACGGTGGCAATGCAAACAGTTCGGTTGGTCACGCAAGGGGGGCGGTGGGCAAGGGTGACGGGCGGCCACGGGCGGTTGGTCGGTACAAGCAGCAACTATTGGAGCTTCAGTTAGTGCTGCCTGCTCGGTTGCGGGACCGGTTTGTTTCGGCACGAGGGGCACACGGGGAGACACGAGCTTGGGACCGATTCTCTCGCGCACGGTGGGCCAAGGCGGTGGGTGAGCCAGGCAAGACGACGCCATTCTAAGCAAGCAGAGTGTACAGCGTTACTGTACCTGGGGCATGGCGTCGAGGGAAAGCTCGGGCACCGACATGTCCACCCTCCACGTGTACTCCGCCGTGTCTCCGAGGACTTCGTCTCGCACCTGGACAGAAGCCAGGAACGAAGGCACGCCAGCAAAAGAAGAAAACAAAAAACAGGACAGGACAGGGTCCATCACTAGACTATATAAACGGGAACGAAACACGCCACATGCCCGTGTGTAGAGGCACGAGGCGGGCCCTCTGCGGAGCCCCTTCACCTACCCTTCCGCGGACAAAACTTGCGCTACTGCTGTACTGCAGCCACATCGTTTCGTGTTCCATCATGAGGGATTGCCCGGACCCGGGCACGGACCGTTCATTCTGAGCAACATCCAAAAGAAAAAAAAGAATGCTCTCCGCTGGACCCCCCCTCCCCTCCACGCGACAGCAGCATGTAGTTCTACCCCCGGGCGTGCCCCACCTACTCCACTCCCGCTCAAACACGCCACATAGAAGTACTGCTAAAAAAAAAATGACCGATACGTTCGTTCAAGGTTTCGCGCTATGCGAGGGCATCGTAGGATCTGAGGAAACACCATCAAAGAACGACAGCATTACCGCCAGGGTATCCAACACTCCTGCCCCCCCCAGGCTCCGTCCTCTCGAGGACGCGTGGTCAATGGTCTGACCGGTAACGCATGCAAAACATAAGAGTACCCCCCCACACACACACACCTGCAGGCGGTACTCTCCATCTTCCAACCCCTCCAGCTCCAGCCCCCACACGAACCCCCCGTTATCGCTACCACGTTTGGCGGAAGAGGAAGAAGACGAAGAAGCAGAAGGAGAAGAGATGGACGAGGTGCCGTTGTTGTCTCCGGCCAGCAGCAGGAGAGCATCCCACTCGGCCCTCGGCACCGCCGGCACGGCCTCCCACGCGTCGCCGGCCCCGGGGCCCGAGAGGAGATACGACAGCCTGGCCGCCGCGTCAGCGGCAGAGGAAGAGGAGGAGGGGGTCGCGGAAGAGTCGGCTGCTGCCGACTCCGTGTGGTTGGCGTTGGCGGTGGCGGCGGATGATGATGATGACGACGATGTCCACGTGTTCGCAGAAATATCGTCAGCAGCAAGGACGTCTTCCACCTCGAACTCGAACAGAAACGGCGCCTGTTCCGGGCGGTTGAGCACCTTGGCAGGCGTGCGCACCATGACGATCTTTTGGCGTTGGGAATTGGGGTTGGTGTCACGTGGAAAGCCGGGGAGGGGTACGGGTGTTTGGTTAATCAGATCAGTCAGCCTGTGGGCGCGAGGGCTTACGTCAGTGTCGTCGACGAGATTATTGGGCTCACATCCAGGAAAATAAATCGTCAACAGACGCTAGTGCGAGCTCTGTGTAGACTTCAACGTTGAGAAAAAAGACATCGCGAGAACAACGCCCCCCTCCCCCCGCACATCATCTGGTCCCCTTCCCAGTCGATCGCTCGTGTGATCAACGTCAGTCGCACAGGTAACACCCCAATGCCGGGGAAACAAACACGCTTGTTGTACTGTACTCACGTACCGCTTCGAGGAGTGGGCACAGCAGTACGAGAGGAAAGCAACAACAATCATCGCGCTATATATGTTTGCGTCAGATCGATATAACAAGTGCTCTGACGCTGGAGGCTGGGCCCTTCCTATCTAGTCTACTCTGTACAAGATCCGCCAGTTTGGCGCGGCGTTAAGTATGTTGTGTGTGTCTAATCCCACATAAGGCACACTCTCCTACAACACCTGCATCTGCTTGAAGGTCTTCGCCTTCCACCAGAACGCCTGTCTTCCAATTGCTTCGCCTGTTTTTGTTGACGCGGCGGTCTACTGCACACCAACTGGTACCACAACTAACATCACACGCCAAAATATACCTATACTACCTGTTCCAAAAAACACACCTCCCTGCGTCTGGTTGACGGCACAACACACACAAAACACATCTCTCCTCTCTAAAACACACACATGCTTTCTCTAAAACAAGCACACCGGCATAACACACACAAAAACACACCTCTCTTCTCTCAAGAAACACACACACACACCTGCGTCTGATTGATGGATTCCCCCTCCGCCAGCACCCGGAAGGGGCACACGACGGGGCTGCGGTCGACCACCCCGAAAACGTTGAACGCCTCGAGCGCGAGCTTGTAGTCCCCCACGCCCAGGTTTTGCATCACCAGGGTGCCGTGGCTGTGCCCCATCTGTGGTGGCCGTTTCGTAACGCGCGGTTATGAAACAAATTTCAAATTTCGCGACTTGACGACCGATGACACCAACGCCTGGCACGAGGCGTCGTCGCCATGCCGCTGTCAAGTGAATACATACGACTCGTGCTCTGACAGCCTGGGATCTATGCGAGTGCGCCATGCTCACACGTGAGAGTACTCGTTCATACGGCTTACATCAAAGTCCCGCTGCAATATGCTCGTTCGTCCGGTCACTGCGGAGAGCGTTCCTCGCGAGTTCAAGGCGAAACACAATTTGTACACACCAAGCAGGGGGGTGCAACGATGCTAAGGTTAACAACGACAACGACACCGATACACACTACCGACGGTCCAGTACGCTTATCCCCATCGCCAACCGCTGCAAGGCCATCTGCAACAACCAAACGCCCACCTCAACCCCTTTCTCCTCCCCGCGTGCGTGCCCACCTGTCCTTGGAGAGTCTCGAGCTTAGTGCACCCGCCCTCGCCGGAAGCCGTGGAAGCCGGCTGCTGGTAGCTGTAGCTAGTGTTCGCCGCCAACGTCGAGCAGTTAGCCCAAGCCTCCGCGCACAGCACCACCGACCGGGAGAGGTAGTTCTGCCCGGGGGCGGGCCCGCCGCCATCACTGCCCCCGCCGCCGTCGTCGTCGGTACCCCCCCCGGTCTCGCCCGGGGTCGCGAGGCCGCTCCCGTCGCCACCATCATCACCGTCGCCACCACGAGTCTCCCCCCCGCTACTCGATGCGCCACTCCCGCCGCCGCCGCCGCCGCCAGCCTTGTCGTCATTATCCACGCCCTCCCGTGTCGGCGACAAGGACCACGTGGGCACCGGGGCGGCGGTCGGGGCCGGGGACGGAGGCGCGACGCAGTCCGCAGCCGAGGACGCCGGCACGGGGGCCTCCCACTGGAGGACGTAGCGTATCTGGCAAGACATGGCCGGAGCGCAGGCCACCCCGTCGTACGACGCGCCCAGGAGGACCTGCTGCGTCTCCGCCTCCTGGAACGGCAGGTGGCTCGGCGGGCAGAACTCCACGACCGTTTCCAGCATGCTCACCTGCGCATCGCGTGCCGTGTACCAGGAGGAGCAACAGCAGCAGCAGCAGCAACAACAGCGTGAGGTGCAGAGCCGTTATTCTTGTCGCTGCCCAGGGTCGTGGAGTACAACAACAACCCGCCGAAAACCGGCGCAATTGTGCAAAAGACGGGCTCGAAGCGGGTCAAACGAAATACACGCTTGGCGACCCTTGAGAACAACCACTCTCGAGAACCCCTGAGATGCCCCTGCCTCAGCAGTGGCCTTGTAAACTACCTCCATGCAAGGGCACGAACACGTCATGAATGAAGCACAGAGGGCGGCCGCGGAAGAATACGACGTCCTCAATGAAAAAACTACAAACACGTACACAGGTGTTATCGGCCACGGAGCCCCCCCCCTGTTTTCACCTCCCAGTTGTAGGTGATGGGGTTCGGGTCCGAGCGGCCGGTGGGATCTACGGCCATGACGACGACGCTGTGGAGGCCGTCGCTGAGGGGGAATTGGGAGGTCTCGTCGCACTGGCGCCACATGCCGCTGTCCACCTTGCACATGAACCGCGACAGGGGCTTGCTCGACCCGAAGGTGAACTGCGGGGGGGCACCACGAGCGTCACACGTCAACAACGATGACAAGAGCAAAGCAGGCACGAAAAGCGGGGCGCGACAAAAGAGATGACGACGACGACGACGACGACGACGACGACGACGACGACGACGACATCATCAACGATGAGAGAAAGGCAGAACACCGTCGACAACAACAGCAGTGATCGCTGCTCGCTCCGCCGGCAGTCTAGGTGGTCACTTCGAAACCTACGTGGCGGCTAGGTTTGAGAGATACAATCCCGGCGAGGCGTGTGTTTTTTCAGCGTTTCCTGGTATACTGGAATGCGCTTGATGTTGGGTTTATGTGAAGGAAGGATCACTGAACCCTACCCGAACGAAAACACTTCATATACACCTTCCTGTCTGTGTGACCCCCGGATCGGAGCACTTCAGTTACAGAGAGGCTCGTTGAATTTGTAGAAACTGCGAACGACGGTTGACGCATGAAATGAAACGAGCACACAAACAAGCAGTATGGCAAACAACACCGACGACAACAGTAACCGCAACTTAGCACCAACGACAACGCCAACTCACCACCGACGGCATGAGCTTGTCGGGGAAGGAGAGGATGGTCGTCACCGGCAGCAACGTATCGGTCTCCCAGGAATGGCTTAACGGTTGAGGGTCGCACTCGGTGCTGTTCGCTTTACACGCGTACACTCTGAGGAAACCAAAAGGATTCGGCACGTGAAACCAAGCAGCGAAAAGCGAGCATAAACATCTACGGTTCAAAGCGGGAGGTCCGACTTGATAACGACGCAGGCTGCGCTCTTGCTCGAACAGCACAAAAATCGGCCACCCAAAGCAAGCGCAGGTCTGGGAGCTGCAAGCAAGCAAAGGGCTTTTATTGCCCGCTGTGTCCGTCCCACGCGAAGGGCTGAGGGGAAAAATAGAATCTGACTGTTGTATGTAAGCAGAAGCAGGACGTGACACAACATATGTTCGATGCCCATCTAAACGTCACACGGCCGAGCACGGCGCGCTGAAGGCGCATGTTAGTGTTGGTTTTCATATTGCACGTCATGACGAGCGCTAAAAAAAAAAAACATGACACGGCGGTGCGGCACTCTGTGTGTGTGTCGGGGG